GGGGGGGCAGAGGAAGGAGCCCAGTCTAGAGATCCGCGAGTGCTAGTCGTGGCCTTGGCAGAGTTCATTGGGCCATCCTGCACATGCCAACCGGCATCTTGCTGGGCGCCTCTTGTGCAGAGCTGAACAGGCCGGCCTCTCCCTTCCAGGAGCTGGGGCTCTAGTGCCTTGAGAACTGCAAACGGTAAGTTCACCGCTGTAAACTGGGATTGGGGTGCCAGCAGAGGGAAGGTGTGTGTGGGGGGGCTCCTTTCCCCTAATCGCCCCAAATCTTCCCTAGGGGCAGGTCCTCTCCGCCCCCTCAGCCTCCCAAGAAGGGATGGCGGTGCAGATCCAAAGAGATAATCCCTCCAGAGTTCTTTCATATGTAAGGTGGGCGCATTATTACTTCGGAGCCATCTACAGGCTGTGTCCGCAGGCGTCCTTTTCCCTCCTTCGGGAAAGACGCTTTGGCCCGTGAGCACCCCCTCCCCCGTCCTGGTCGCCCGGCTCTGTCTGTGGTCCCACTGTTTAGAGCCCAGGGGGTTAATGTGTGGGTGGTGAAAGCCCATTCTGTTATCTACTCGGGAAAGCCGCCATCTGGAAGGGAAAGCATCTTCTGAACAACAGGAATCTGAGTCCCCGAAAGTCCAGCTTCCATTTTTTCTCCTTTGACGCGGGTGCCCTGCTGGGGAAGGGCCGGGGGCGGAGGCAAAAGGCCGCTCTTCTGCCCAATTGATCGTGGGCCTTTTCGTTTTCAACTTAAGCCCGCAAAGGACGAAAAACCCCGCTCCCCAAGACACACTGTTTTGAAAATAAATCCCAAATGAAACAAAAACATTTAGAATCAAACAGTTAATCAGAGCCTGAGCGATTCTGGGACTTGGGCTCGGGGGTGGAATTGAGGGCCCTCCCGCCTCCACCGCCCCAGCTCCAACGCCTTCTGGGGTCGCCTTGGTCCCCCTAGCGCGAGGCTCTAGGAGCCCAGAGCTGGTTGGGCTTGTTTGAGGTAGGGCATCGCCGCACGCCCGGGATGGGCGCGGGCCCGTGCGGCCCGAGGCATTGTTTGGGGAGCCCGCGCGGCCCCTCTAGCCGCCAGGGGGAGCCGGGAGTCGCGGTGGAGTCTCCATCGCCGCCGTGCCTACCTACTGCCCGGGTCTAACCTGCCTGGTTCCCGGGCCCCCGGCCCTCCTCGTACCCGCTCCACCCAGTCTCGACTTCTTCCCGCACAGGCTGCGTCATCTTCCCCATTTTGAGTCGCGTCTCACTCCCTTTCCTTCCCGCTAGTTTGCGCGCAGGTAAGCGGATGCCCCAGTGACGACAGTCGCGCCCACGGGACGAACGGATTGAGGGGGGACAGGAGAGCAACTTCCGACAGAAGCTGCGACGCGAGCGCGGACGTTGTGAAAATGGCACGAAAGTGGGTGCTCGGTGGCTGTCGCGGCGCGCCTCCCCAGCCGGGGTCGCTGTGCAGCCGCAGAGAGATGCGCGCGCTCGAGAGCAGCCGCACCGCGGCGCCTTCATTCGCCCGACGCGACACCGTGCGCTCCTCGGTGCTCAAGCCTACGGGACTTCGCAGATCCTCACCGCTTATCTAAAAGCCGCCGAAGGCTTTTGCCTTTACAAACCGAGAGTCAATGCTTACCACCCCCATCCCCGGTCCATTTAGTACTTGCCCGTTTTAGGGATGGAAACTATTCACCCAAACCCAGGGTAAGTGGTGGGGGCGCTCATTCCTCTGGGCAGCCTATTTAAAGGGGGCTTCCTTCCCCGTAGGTCCCTGGCGATGGGATTGGTACTCTTCCCTCGACCCCAGCCTCACCACGCACCGAGTGAACAACATTCCAGCCCAGTGCCGCAGGCCTGAAGAAGAGCCTCGACAATCCGTGTTTCCGAATGTCCAGGCACAGAAGAATCTCGAGGCACGAAGAAAGTTCCTGCCCATCTCGACAGAACAGTGCGACTGTGGTAGGTGCAAGATTTTCTGGGCCTGCAGGACCCGGGCTCTCATTCTCAGTGATTATGCTCTGCTGGAGGGGTCCCCGACCCCTGCGTCTGCTCTGCATCCGCCGAAACGCAGCCCTTCCCCCCCCAATAGTAAAGTTAGGGCACATGGACTCTTATTTCTGCGATGGAGTGCAGGCAAGACAGGGGACAACAGGAATACTACGCAGGTTTCCTAATTCTGAAAATCCAGCACCGGCTTTGGAGGGGCAGCCTCGAACTGGAAACAAATTTCTTACCC